CCGCTATAGCGCTGCTATAGCGCTGCACAGCAAAAACGCATAAAAACGCAAAAAAACTGGTAATCATGCATCTGGAGGTCCATGTGGCTCTATAATGCAACATCTTCATCCCAAGCGGTGCCTTTCTCCTGCATGTCGGAAGAAGGCGAATCACGACCAATATCAGCCCAAGTGTTAGGTTACAGCGCAGGGATCATTCATGCTATTAACGACCTACGAGTTTAGCGCAAAAACGCATGATCACAGGGCCAAGCTAGTTGCGTTCCAACCTGGGTTGCATGAGATTACGTGATCGTGGGATAATGGACGTAAAAATTGGTCGAATTGCAGATTTTTTTCTGAGGATGACTTGCTAACCAGCAACATCATTCAAGGAAATGGTCCATGGCCCGAATTTCACCATCGTTTGGGAGAAGCACTTGAGCTGTTTTTATATAAGATACAACTAATTAACATTTTGGTCCAAAACAGCTGCGTCGTGAATTGCTTGTATGGGTTGGGTGCGAATTTAGTATAGCAGGCACATTGCAGATAGTAAGCATGTCATGCCTTGAAGTGTACCGCAGTCTACTGCAAACGTATCGCCTCAGTTTAGTTCCGAATTGGCAGTTTGCCAGCAATTTTCAACTTAAAGTCTAGCTTTTTCGTAAGTGTGACTCAGCATACGTCAAAACCGGTTTTGAAATCCGTAGCTCAGATAAAAATGCAGGATAACTCTAAGGAATTCAGCCTCATATCGTTTTCCCAGCATAACTTTTCAGCATATTCTTTGTAGCGTCCATATGTAAGATCCAGGCATGCGTGAAAATTGATTTTAAAATAACGAAGTCAAACGTGGACGAAGTTTTTAAATTTTCCTTAAAATTTCAGCTTCCCAGCCTCTCGTTTCAAAACTAAAAGTAGCCAACAAAAATCCGAAAATACATACATACATACACATACATACATACACACACACGCACACAAACACTCACACACGTACAGAAAACTCATCAATATGCGTTTTTGCACAGCACCAAATACGTAACCTAGGCTGGAATGCACCAAGCTTGTCGGTGCGATCGTGCGTATTTGCACAAGACTTGAAGTGCTCAGGTCGTTAACTGCATGAATAGTTGTTGCTTTGCACCTACTTTTTGCGCTAAATAACGTAAACCATCGTAAATTTAACATAAAGGAAATGGACAATTTCCTTTTAGCCGTTCTTTGAAAATGTTCAGTGAGCAGTTTTCCCGCCAAAGCTTTCAAGCGCCGGTGCATGAGAACCACGCATAACTGCAGGTTGTGTTTGAAATATTCATGTTGCACTCGGACAGGGAACATTCCCCTAAAAATTCAACTATCTAGCTTTTTTCGCTCCTGAGTTAGCTATTTTCCTGACAAAACTTTCACATGCATGCCAGAGGCTGAATCTGAAATATTTAAGTTGTACGTGAACGGGGAATATACCCTTAAAATTTCAGCCTTCTAGTTTTTTCGGTTGCCGAGTTAACATTTTGGCTACAGGCGGTTGGCCGTCTGGGAATGAGCTAGCGCCTGCTTTCCCGGCGTGCCTTTTGGTTATAGGGGTGGGCTTCCGCACTTTCCCCTACTTAGTATGTGGCCTATTCAGACATTTCTTACTTTTTTTCGCCCTACCAATTTGCTTCCTCACAGGGTGCCTTGTGGACGTAACTACGGGTGTTGCGCCCTCATTTCTCACTCACAGCGTGCCCGTAGTTTCATTTCGGGCAAATGCTTCATCGCGACATACTCCCCGCCCTGCTACGGGCCCACCTGCTTGACTTGCGGGGTCGTATATTGCATTACATGCAAACGCTGCGGCTTACAGTACGCTGACCAGATTAAGCGGTGCCTACATGTCAGAGCGATAGAGCACACACGCAGTGTCGCTCGTGATACTCCTAACAGTGTCCTTTTTACTCATTTAAACGCGGAAATTCTGTGTCTGATATATCTTTCAAGTCCTCGAGATCGTGGATGATTTGTATCGATTGACTGATGCAGAATTCTTCTGGATTTGCCTACTCCAGAGTATCTATCCTTTTGGTTTTAACGATCACGTTAAGGTTTAGGGTTGTGACTCAGGATGCTACTTACAGCACTAAAATTATTCCTTACTACTCCGTACCGCTTCTTCGGTTCTACCGCAGACACGGACGAAGACGTCGTACATCCAAATTTATCAGTCATATCTTCACTGATTCTACGCTTCGCATGACCTTCGATTCTCCCTCCTCCTTTGAACTACGGACTTAGGTACGAGCCCTCCATAATCAAAGCAGCAGAACTCTCTCTCTCTCTCTTGCACCACATCATTTGAACAGACCTAATCTGTCAGGTGCTCTTCTTTGGCATGTTCTTAGCTCCTTCTTTTCTTCTAGCCGTCCAGCCCCATAGCAAAACGTGGCCCACGACAACGCATTTCGCGGTGTTATGCCCTACCCAGGACCTGTTTACGACTGTCTTAGTTACGTAGATTGGTTCATAATCGCACATTCCGACGCTTATATGACGGCATATTAGTACCCCGCTTTACCTCAGCTTTAGGCCGCATTCTTTGCAATCATATCGCCCAAGTACACTTGACAGAACTCCAGTCATTCTACATACATCTGCCTTCGTTCGACGCGCCTGCTACAACTCCTTTGTATATCCTGTCGGCCACATAATTACTGGCGATATACGTGTGCTAGGAGATGCTTTCTTAGAAAACTACTTCAGTTTACGGTGCAATTTCAGGATACCTGGATGCACCCTACTGAGATCTTTAATCATTTCGCCACTACTATCAGAGCATATATTCGTTTGCTTGTCCAGAGATATAGCTTAAAGCCTTCAAGCGCTATGTCTTACTGTGACAATGGGCCGTTTCGTGCTCGCCGCCTCCT